TCTTTCATCATTAAGTATAATGTGTTAAGTATAATAACCTAATATACATAATGTGTTAACTATATGTTAAATATAATATGTTAAGTATAATGTGTTAAACATACTGCTAATTAGGGAGTTTTTGGTATGTTATCTTTATTAAATTGAGGAAGATTTCCTTTCTACGTAGTTTGCTGAGAGTTTTAATCATGAAAAAGTGTTTGCTTTTGTTAAATTCTGCTTCTGTGTCCCCTGATATGATCGTATGGTTTTTCTTCTGCCTTTTGATATGGTGGGTGATACTAATTATCAAATATTGAACTAGCCTCACATGCCTGGAATAACTCCCACTTGATCAAGATGTGTAATTCTTTTTGTACATTTCTTTAATTTGTTAATACTTTGTTGAAGATTTTAAAATCTTTGTTCATGAAAGATACTGGTCTGTAATTTTCTGTTTTTGTATTGTCCTGGTCTGGTTCTGGTGTCAGGATAATACCAGCCTCATGAAATGAGTTAGGAAGTGTTCTTCTTCTTCTTTTTTTCCTGAAGAAATTGTGTAAAACTTTTCACAAATTTTTTTTTTTTTAACTCTGTTAGAATTCTCCAGTCAAACCATCTGGGCAGGGAAATTTGTTTTCTTTTTTAAGTTATAAATTCAGTTTATGTAATTGTTGTAGGACTATTCAAGTTGTCTTTTTCATCTCAGTTGAGTTTTGGTAGTTTGTGGTTTTCTAGACATTGGTCTGTTTGTTCTAAGTTGTCAGATTTATTAGTATAAAGTTGTTCCTGGTATTCCTGTACACCTTTTTAATGGCTGTAGGATCTGTGATGATATCACCTGTTTCATTTCTAATATTGTGTATTTTCTTAATCTTTGTCAGTGTTGCTCAAGATTTATCAGTTTTATTCATAATCCTGGTGATTAATTTCATTGGTTTCTCCTCTTTATTATTTGCTATTCTTCTGCTTGCTTTGGGTGTATTTTGCTCCTTAAGTTTTTAAAAGCTCAGAGGAAATGTATAGCACTAAGTACTTACATTAGAAAAGAGGAAAAGTCTTAAATCAATAATCTAAGCCTCTTTGTAATATAAGCATTTAGTGGTATAGATTTCCCTCAGAACTGCTGTCTCTAGCTATGTACCAAAATTTTTGACTTTTGTATTGTATTTTTGTCTTCATTTGGTTTGTGTATATTTTAAGTTCTTTTGAGATTTCCTTTTTCACCTATGGAAGTGTGGTCATTTGACCCATGGGTCAAAGAATTGTGATGTTTAATTTCTGTATGTTTGAAGAATTCCCTCTTTTCTTTTTGTGATTGATTTCTAGTTTGATTCTATTATAGTCAATGAACATAGTCTCTGATTTTTACTTGCTTTAAACTTAAATTGTTCTTCATTCTGTAGTTTCCTGGTAGAAATGTGAGTTACTGATTTTAGATCTTTCTTTTCTATTGTGTGTGTTTGGTATAAGTTTCCCTTTAATTACTGCTTTGGCTGCATCCTGTTACTCTTTGATGACTTGTATTTCATCTTCATTTAGTTGAAAATTTGTTTTCTCTTCAGATTTCTTCTTTCACCTAGACATTTAAAATTGTTTAAATATTCAGGAATTTTCTAGCTATCTTTTATTGATTTCTAGTTTAATTCCATTGTAGCTTGAGAACATAATTTATATGATGTCTTTTACATTTTTTAAGGTGTGGTTTTATGTCCAGATTTTGTAAAAATTCTCATTTAAGTGTTCCTACCAGTTTATGGCTCTAGCAGCTCTGTCCAGGTGAGCAGATCTCAGCTGTGACTTGGTGTATAGTTCATGGACATTTGAAACAAACAACATATATTCTGCCACTATTGGATAGTGTTCTGTCTATGTCAGATTTTTAATTTACTGTGTTGTTCAGTTATTCTAGCAGGTGCTTAGAGTAAGGTATTGAAGTCTCCAATTCTATTTATGGATTTATCTATTTCTCCTTTCATCTCTATTATTTCTTAACAGCTTTATTGAGATAATACATGTATCATATAATTTCACCCATTTAAAATATACAATTCACTGATTCTTACTACATGCAGTGAGATGTGCAACCATCACTCCAGTCTATTTCAGAACATTTTCTCACCATGCGAGAAACCATGAACATTCAGCTATTGCCCCTGTTCCTTTATCCCCATCATACCTAGCCCTGGGCAACTGCTTATCTACTTTCGTCTCTATAGATTTCCTGTCCCAGGCCTTTGGCTTGGGGGCATGGGCTTTACTTGGAGTCAGTTCTGTCTGTGCCCGTTACTGGTTCTGGATTGGAGGCTTCCACAGCATTCTGTTTAAGATAGAGAGAGCAATAAAGTACCCAGGGAACTGGCCAGCACTGCATTGTTCAAGTCCCACAGTCCCTAGGCTGTCTGCCTTCATTCTCCCTTTCACAGCTTGCTTGTGCTTATTTGCTGTGTTTTGTTCAGAGTGTTTCAGGTGTAGGGGAAAAACCTGAGAGGAATGGGGTTTACCCCATTTTGGCATAGCCAGAAGTTCCCACTGAAATATACTTTCCCCCCAAATCCGGAGTGTTCCACCAAGTGTGCATTTGTTTCTCTGTAGTGGGCAGTTCTGGATACAACCCTTCTTTTCCATTTGAAACTGCACTGATGTAGCAGGCATGTGAACTCTTGTAGGATTTCTCTTTCACTTCTGATAATCATGTATTTATTAAGACATCAAGGGTGCATGCTACTTCCAGTTTGTATTCCCCTTGCAAGTACATTAAGCCTTTGGGAAGAAAAACAGTTGTTGGACCTCCAACAAGTGTTGGAAATTTTCAGGAGGTGACTGAGCAGGGTACACCACCTTGGGTCCTCTCCACAATCCCATTTCTCCTCCCTCTAGAGTCTGCAAGGGGAGTCTAGCATAGCTGTCTCATCAGCTGTTGGCCTCCACTGAGTCAGTGCTTCTCTTAACCATTCCTGGGTGCCTAATGTATTACATTCTGAAGTCTAGGTGAAGTACTCCTGTTGGCCTGATCCAATCTTATATGCATTCTTGCTGGCTAATGTACTTAGAATCCATTTCCATGTGTGCCCTCCAGGTTCCTGCTAATATAATTTGACAAGATCCTGCAACTCCATCAGCATGTACATGATTTCCTCCAAGAGGAGACCTTGCAGTATCTCTAGATCATGCTAGGATTTGACTTTTTTTGGCCCTATAGCCAGTGAGTATTGATGGTTGTGGGTCTTCAGAAGTTTTCAGATGACCACCCCAGATGAAGCCATTGAAACATTTTTACCCAATGGAATGCTACTTTTCTTAGAAGGTGGAAAGGGCTGTTTCTGATATGAAGAAATGTTTAGAGATATTAGAGAGCCAAGGTTCTTAGATTCATGCCTGGCTAGAGGCTCCCATATCATCAAGTCTCAGGTTCCCACTCTTTCCCAACAGCACCTTTACCTTAGCTGAAGGGACATGGCATAAATATATCTTGATCTGGCATATGATCCTGAAATGTCTACATTAAGCCTCAGTCATGTCCCTTGTAGCTTTATAAACTAAGGATTCCTTGAAGGCCACCATAAAAACTTGGATTCTCTGCCCATGCCTTTATAGTTGAGATCTCAAGGCACTAAGCTCATCATTTTCTTTTTGGAATCTCTTCAGCACAGTCAAAAGAAGCCATCTCACCCCACAAACTTGGAATCACCATGATGCCGTAGCAATCAAGTGCCACGGACATTTGGTCTCCCAGTGGCTTGCCCTCCTGTTACTTTCTGTTTCAGTGACATTTGAGTAACCGTGATGCCACCACATGCTGCAGATTGGCAGGATCCCACTTCTCCCTAGTAAGAAAGCAAGCCATTCATGTACTCACCAGCCCACCCTCAGAATCTCACCTGGATGAGCTGCTTCATTGGGCCACTTCTCCGAACACATACTGTATTCATCAGGGGTGGAAAACAAAATGCACATTTGGCTGAAACTTTGAAGAGAAATTAATGAAGAGGGACAATCAGCTGAAGTTTGGGCAGGCACCCAGAAGGATAATGAGACAGCCAGGGACTCACAGCAGGAGGAAGCCCTTACCATGCTTAGTCCTTGGGCCTGAAGGGCAAAGGTAGCTCTGGAGCCTGGTGAGAACCAGTGGTGGCAAAGGGGGTCTGCCAGATAGGAGCTCCAGTTGTAGAGGAAGAGAGGGAGTGGGGTGAAATACTCAACCTTCCCTCTTCCTGCCCTTCAGCCTCCTGCTGGTGCCTCCCACTGGCCTAACCAGAAGCTGAAGATGAGGCAGCTTTGCTGGTAAAGACTACAGAGGTCCCCTTCCTGGGCCATGGAGAATGGCAGACTGGGTTGAGGGTGAGGAAATGGAAAACCATCAGCACATGGGGTCTTGTGGAAATAATAGGAGACTTTTCTACCCCTACCAGAGGATAGCACTTCTGGCTGGAAAACAAGGCATCTAACAGCTGGAGCTGTCAAGAGTGGGTCAGATGCCCCTTGGGGCTCGTGACTCACTGCACAAAGGTGCCCAAACCTCTGCTATATGGGGAAGACCTTTGAACTGTATTATTCAGATTCTGAAATGACCTCTACTAGCAATCTATGTGTATACATACATTTGTAGGATAAATTCCTTAAAATTATGTTGTTCAAGCTTTGTGGTATATATGTGTTCTGGCTAAATGGGTGACATTTTCTGTTACATTATTTTTATAATGGACTTCAAATTCTATCACTGCACTGTTGGTTCTAGTAAGCAGAATTCGAAATGTAATGTGGAAAAGGTATTTTTCTTCTTAGTTTCTACTTTAGGGATAGTATATCCTCTGAACACTACTATTAAAATGAACATTCACGTGCACATACTTCACCTGATTCCAGTGCTCAGTTTTAAAAGGAACTTTAAATTTCTGCTGTGCAGTTTGTTGACTATAGCTAATCCTTCATTCTAACAAAAAAGATAGTTTCCAACAGAAAGAATCAGAAACTTTAATCTTGAACTCACAGTGTTCTTCTCTCCCCTTCTCCCCTTCCAGGAGGACAACTGTTAGTTTTGTGGCTTACTGCTGCTCCACCCAGTGTCTGCAGACTTTTGACCTGCTGAGTTGATAAACACCCAGGAGCCTCAGGAGCACTGCCAGCTTGACGCTAGGGAATCCGGCCAGTCCAGAACAGACTCTTCCATCCTGTCCTGTCCAAGGCGGGGCACTGTGGAACTCTCTGGAAATGTCAAGATTGGGCTTCAGAGCTAAAATGCCTCACCCTTCCCCCAAGTTGGAATATATCCTCCCCCAAATTAAGGACCCGTTTGTCTTCTGTGGTTTTCCTTTTTATGTGAGTGTGTCTTTTACACGAACTATTTATAGATTGGTGGGCCTCCCCAAATCTAATTTAAAGCAAGTTTCAGGTTCCTGGAGAACAGTGGTTGATCATCTAACGAGATTCCCTTTTGAACACACATACCTTCAGTGATGCTTCCTCTCTTCTCCCTTGCTTTCCCCAGAGAGTGATTTCCCCGAGAGCATATTCTGCACAGTGTCTCCAGTGGAAACTTGTCAGTTTTTGAGGAGTTTCAGCAAACCCCACGGCCTCAGTGGTCTTGAGTAGCAGGGTGGGGTGCCTGAGTTGGCGGCAAAGTGAGACTCCCATGGAGGCTCAATGAGGATCCCAGAGCACACACCCTCTGGAAAGTTCCAGCCTTGTTTGTAAGTTTTGCTATGTAGCAAGAAATTTTTGTGAGGGATTTTAAAAACAAAAATGTAGATTGTAATGAAATGCACTCTTATTTTTTAAAAATGTTTACAGAAAAAAAGTTTAGAAACTTTTAAATTTTCTGATAAGATTTGTTTATATGAGAAGAATTTGAAGAATATTTGAAGCTTTACAAGATCTGATCCTTTTCCTTTCTCAATATAAACAGTTTCCATACAATGAGAAAGGGGGAGAAAACACATTTAAATAAGCCTCAGTGTTCTTTTTTGATGAGTTGATGATTAAATTTATACTGACTTTGAAAACTTTTTGTCACATGTGAAAGGCTTCAGCTGCTTCCACTACTAGTTTTTAACAAGGTGATTCTAAATACAGCCTGTGCACATTTACTCATTCACCTGATACATGAGATTATCTTCATTTTGACCCTAGTTTCTTATATACTTAACATATACTGCCCAGATGCAACAAGAACATACAGGAAAAGCAGATCCAAATTCAGCCTTGGACTTCTGCAAAAGTCCATAAACAGAAAGTCTGTGAGCCTCCACTCTGCCAGAAAGAACTGCTCTTCATGAAGAAGTCACGTATTTGCTCTTCCTTTCAAAGGATGGCATTTTAATGTTGCTTTGCTGCCAGATGTTCATCTGGTTGCTGTGAAGTGATTCTTTTTTTAAAATGTTTTTAAATGATGTAAGTTTTCTAAAAGGCAGGGCTGAAAGGAGAACCAAGAAGATTTGCTTGGTAGAAAAATAATTTTTTTAATTTCAGATTCATGAAAAATTTGGTTGATGGTATTTTTATTAGCTGCCCTGACTTTATAATGCTGTGTTCTAACAGTGCCAGAAATCCTACATAGTTACTGACAAATGTGTGATCTTTTTACAGTCACACCACCTGCTGCCCGGAAAGCACACCATCCACGTAGAATGGAGAAGGCAGAAAGTTACCATGTGTTCCCACTGTATCTGCACTGTTCTTACTTCCTCTTGTTCCTTTTCATAACTTGGTCTATTCAGCCTTAACATTTCAAAGGCTTATAGTAAAATAGGAACTGAAGATCTCTATCAAAATGTAACACTTCTTTCATCCTTTGGAATAATTGAAGTTTTCAGGTAACCTCTATATGTATATAAGTAAGCAGGTGAAAAATGTGGCGTGAAATTTCACAATTGTGCCTCAGGCCTAAGTGACTGCTACCTATCATTTAAGTGACAGTAAAGATCTTGCTACATTTTTCTATTTCATCCTCTACCATCATATGTCATGGAATGGAGCTATAAAATGTGCTAACTTGATATTCAGGGTTCTCACTGCGATAAGGTAATACATTAGTTTGACCTGGTTTGAAATTTTACAAAGATGCTTACAATCCAAGCATTCTTTCTCTACCTGTTATGAGCTACAGTGTGTTAAACAACAGCAGTGGGCTGGGCATACAACATTTGTGCAGTCTCAACCTTCGTCCTTGGGTACAGCACCAGAACTTAACTGATGAGAAGTGGAACTTAAGTGGTTTCCCTGGTGCTGTTTGTTATGGAAATTCTCTGCTGGATTCATCAATGATCAGTGTCACTCTTAATCTTTGGATATTTTAAAGGAGTGTCATCAACTGGAGAAAATTTGCCTACATGCTATATATTTGAATTGTGTCCAAAGCTTTGCAGAAAAACAAATATGAAGTTATTTTATATGCTGTTTTCTTGAGCAACAGTGACCCTAGGTAGAAAAGTATTTCACACAAAAAGAGTAATACAAAAAAAAGTGAACTACTTGGAAAGTATCACCTGTCCAGGTAAGTTTTCTTCAGTGAGCTCATGTGTGGTTTGTGGTAAAGTCCAGGATAGCTTCATGAGCATAGGACTTCCTATGATGTCGTGCAAAGGGGGCCCATTTTAGTGGATCACCCTATCATTGTTCTTCAGTGTGCCCAATTGTTATCATACCAAAAGCCTCAATTAAGTAACATTGTATGGATGAAATGCTGCATCTTCAGTTAATACATGTTTTGAGCACACTCTTAAAATATATAATAATTAAATGATCCCTATACAAAAGAGCCCAGCCTGGATGGAGGATCCACTCTGGCTAATGGATAAGAGTGACGAACCTCTTCGTTATCTGGCCCTTCTCTTCTGGAAAAGTGAGGCTTACATTAAACATCTTTTGGTCAGCATGCCTCACGAAGACCTTTCACACTCCAGCTTGTCTGACTATGTAAAGTACATCTCACTTCTGTTTTACATTGAGCATTACGAATTGAAATCTTTGCAGTCTAGGAAAAAAGAAGTCTTCAACACCAGTTGGTTTATGAAGCTCTGCACATAATTTTCTCTAAAATATACAAGTATTTTGTAGTCTCAGGGACTTTCAAAGCCAGTTTTAAAAATTAGTAGTAGTACAGTTGTTTCCTGAATGAAAAATCAGAAATTCTAATCTTGCTGTAAAGTGCTTAAACACAATACATTGCCTCAGCATAAATTAAAACGTTTTTATTAAGATGATTTGTGAACATGGATTTCTAACTGGACCAACATTAATGCAATCTGATAAAAACTGAGATGTAAATTCATTTCACAGACTCATAAACACACTCTAAGACTCTTCTTTAAATGGATTCTTACATAACCCTGCCTGTTTTATTATGCCTTAGTTTCGTGGTTTTCATTCACTCCTGTTTGTTCCTAATGAGGTTCTCCTGTATTTTCCCAGAAACTCAGTGAATATCTTTTCTCCAAAGGGGGTTTTTATAAAGTTTGTATTCTTGAAACTAGCTCTATTTCTGTCTAAAAATCATTCCAGTCTCGGCCAGGCATGGTGGTGCATGCCTGTAATCCCAGCACTTTGGGAGGCCGAGGCAGGCGAATCAGAGGTGGGGAATTCCAGACCTGCCTGGCCAGCATGGTGAAACCCCATCTCTACTAAAAATACAAAAAAGTTAGCCAGGCATGGTGGTGCACACCTGTAGTCCCAGCTATGTGGGAGGCTGAGGCAGGTGGTTCAGTTGCTTGAACCTGGCAGATGGAGGTTGCAGTGAGCTGAGATCATGCCACTGCACTCCAGCATGAGTGACAGAGTGAGACTTAGGCTCAAAAAAAAAAAAAAATCATTCAGGCCTCACTGTGTCTACCCCAAAGTACCTCCTTGTGTCACCAACTAATAGATCTGAAAGTGATGCAGGTGTCTCTAGGAAAGGGATTGATCATAGACAAGTGACTGATATTCTCGCTCAGGAAAAGAGCTTGCTTCGCAGCCTTCGAAGAATGACTATATGTGTGGTCCCCTTGTACTCTGGAGACAGAAAAGTACTGGCAGCCAGTGCAGTGGCCCGGCAGAAGGTGGAACATTCAGAGATTATTTCTATATGTAATTAAGAGACTTGCAAAGGTTAGCCGGGGGTTTTTCCACTCAAGTGTGGATTGTCCTTGTTACCTGTGTTAAAGAATATCAGGTTTTGTTTCTCATGGTGATTTTTGAGTTTATAATGATCCAAGATTTTTAAAATAGATACATAATGAAAGGAATATCCAGGCCTCTGAAAAATTATGGCAACATTCATTTAGAGTGTGACTAAGAACTCAAACTGTATCCAGTTTGGTTTCCTCACTCAGTTAACTGCAGTTTATAGAATAACTGAGCTCGAACCATGTGAATGCTCAGAATGTCACTGGTGAAGTATTTATTCAAGAGAAATGGCTGAATTCTCAGCATGAATGAGCTTTGTGAAGTGTTATAAGTTGCCCTATTCCTATTCCTATTCCTATTCCTATCTCCCCCTTCCATCTCTGTTGTATCCTTGAAAACCAACAGTGTACAATGAAGGTGAAAAGTAGCAGCCTGGCTGCCACTAGGGGGTGCAGAATGGGTTAGAATCCGTTAAAGGCTAATTCCCAGAGAATTGTCATTATTTGACCTGTCGGGCAGTTCCCTGGAAGACCTCATTTGCAAGACTGTCTTTATTTTACCAGATTGGAGCTTGCCAGGTGTGAAAAGCCTTTTTCCCAGGGACATTAGTCAAGAAAGACTCAGAGGCAATTGATTAATTTTGTGGTTGCCTCAAGTAGTGGCTTACCCTTGGAGCAGACAATAGGCTAACCAAAAAACGTTAAAAAAAAACAAAAAACTGGGGAATAAGATACCCATAGGGACCTTGAAAAGCTCTGATATTGGGAATTTAGATGGTCATGTGTCTGTACAGAGCTTTGCATATGCCAAGGGTTATACTCCTGCTCAGGAAAGACTTAAGAACATCTTGAGCTTTCACCGTAAGTTGACCTTGACACAGAAGCAGACAGTGAAGCCAAAGGCAGCTTCCTTCCTGTCGCCTTCCTAGCTCAGCGTTGAAGGGGTGTGCCAACATGCACCCAGAGCCCTGACCACAGACTTGGAGACGTAGCACAGTAAGGACACTCCCTTAGTAGGGTTTTGGGAAATTTCTGTGCATTCGTTAGCTGACCACTAAATGACCCTAGCATAAAGACTTCAGTATCCATGCACTATAAAGAATATAGACTTTACTGAATTAGTTCAGAACAGTCACTCAACAGGACTAAACAAGCCAAAACCCAGAAAGTACATCTAACCCTTAGCAAGGAGATAAAAAGATAGGTAAGTGTGATTTCCAGAGTTGCCACATTGTTCTTTGAAATGTCGTTTTCCACAGAAAAATGAGGAACATAAAATATGTTCCATACACGGGGGAAAATAATAGAGACTGTACCTGAGGAAGTCTAGACTTTGGATTTTTAGATGAAGACCTTAAATTGGCTATTTTAGATAGGTTCAGAGAACTAAAGAAAAATTATGTGTAAAGAACTAAAAGTATGAAAATGTCTCACTAAATAGAAAATGATGAAAAATTATTTTTAAAAGAACCAAATATAAGTCTTGAAGTTGAAAATACAGTAACTGAAATGAAAAATTTGAGGTACTCTAGTCTGAGAAACAAAAGAATGAAGAAAAATGAATAGAGCCTCAGAGATCTGTGGCACACCATCATTCATACAAATATATGCATAATTGGAGTGTCAGAGGAGAGAAAGAGGTAGAATATTTTAAAAAATAATGGCCAAAGACTGAAATTTGATGAAAAGCATTGATTTACATACCCAAGAAGCTCAATGAACCTTAAGTACCATTTTCTTTGCTGTAGCTTTTACATGTACTCTTTATCTATTTACATATACTCAGATATCTATCTATATCTGAGTTTATACTCAGAGACCCATGCCTGGACAGGAAATCACACTGTCCAAAGAATCGTGGAAGCAAAGAGAGAAGTGACTCATATACAGAGGATTGTCACCAGAAACTATGAAATGTAGAAAAAGGGATGACATATTCCAAGTGGTGAAAGTGAATGACTATCAAATAAGAATTCTATTTCCAACAAAACTGTCCTTCAAAAATGATTAGGACATGCCCGCATAAACAAAAACAGAATTTGTCATTAGTCTGCACTACAAGAAATAATAAACAGGGAACTTCAGGCTGAAAAGTTAACAGTAACTCAATTGCACATGAAGAAATAGCACTGGTAAAGGCAGCTATATTGGTAAATATAAAAGGCAGTACAAATGCATTTTTTGTAATTTTTTTTCCTCCTATCTGATTTGAGGCAACTGCATAAAACAGTAATCTGTTTGGGTGGGCACACAGTGAAAAACAATTTGTATGACAATAGCATTACAAAGGAAGTGGGAGGGAACAGACTTAACAGAGCAAGAAAATTTTTTGTACTGTTAAGTTGGTATTAATCCAAACTAGGTTGTTGTAAATCAAAATGTTATAATCATCAGGAAAATCACTAAGAAAATAGATAAAGAGTATATGTAAAAGCTACAGCAAAGAAAATGGTATACTAGAAAAACGCTGCCAACAAAAGAAGTCATAGAAATAATGGAAGAATAAAGGAACAAAAAAAGACAAAAGACATAGAAAACAACCAGGCTGATCACAGTGGCTTATGCCTATAATGCCAGCACTTGTGGAGGCTGAAGCAGGAGGATTGCTTGAGCCTGGGAGTTCAAGGCCAGCATGAGGCCTTGTCTGTATTAAAAATTTATATATATATATATAATTGCAGACTAAACCCCACCTTATCAATAACTGCATTAAGTGTAAGTGGATTAAACACTCAAAAGGCAAAGATGGTAGAATGGATAATAATCATGGTCCAACTATATGCTGCCCACCAAGAAACGCTTTAGATTCAATGACAAGTAGGCTGAAAGTAAAAGGATGAAAAAATACATGTAAACTCTAAGAAAAAAAGAGCTTGAGTAGATATATCAGACAAAATAGACTTTTAAATAAAAATTATTAGAGACAAAGACATTACATAAAAGGAACAATCTATCAAGAAGGCAGAATTTTTGAAAGAATTGAAATTATACAAAACATGTTCTTTGACCACAATGGGATGAAATTAAAAATTGGAAGAAACTTTGGGAAACCTACAAAAATTTGGAAATTAAACAATACACTCCTATTAACCAATGGGCCAAAGGAAAGATTCACGAGGAAATTACAAAGTCCCTTAGAGTAATGAAGGTGACAGAACATACCAGAACTTATGAGATGCAGCTAAACCATCACTTAAAGGATCATGTCTAGCTATAAATGTCTCTGTTACCAAAAAGTTTCAAATCAATAACCTAGCCTGAAACCTTTAGAAACTAGAAAAGAATAGCAAACTAAACCTAAAGCAAACAGAACAAAGAAATAATTTGGATTAGAATCAAATAAATGAAATAGAGGACAGAAAAATAGAGAAAAATCAAACCAAAGCTGGTTCTTACAAAAAGTCAATAAAATGATACCCTTAGCCAGCCTCAAAAGAAAAATAGTGAAGACAAATTATTAAAATCAGGAATGAAAGATTACTACCAATCTTATGGAAATAAAAATTATAAGAGTTCATATGACAAATTAGAGAATTTAGATGAAGTGGACAGATAGCTAGAAAGATGTACTACCAAAATTGAAGAAGAAATAAAAATTTAAATAGATCCAAACAGATTAAATGAATAATCAAAAAACTTCCCACAGCCAGGCATGGTGGCTGACACCTGTAATGCCAGCTATTTAGGAAGCTGAAGCAGGAGGATTGCTTTAGGCCAAGAGTTTAAGACCAGCCTGGGCAACATAGGGAGACCTTGTCTCTTAAAAATAATAATACGGCCGGGCGCGGTGGCTCAAGCCTGTAATCCCAGCACTTTGGGAGGCCGAGACGGGTAGATCACGAGGACAAGAGATCAAGACCATCCTGGTCAACATGGTGAAACCCCGTCTCTACTAAAAATACAAAAAATTAGCTGGGTATGGTGGCGCGTGCCTGTAATCCCAGCTACTCAGGAGGCTGAGGCAGGAGAATTGCCTGAACCCAGGAGGCGGAGGTTGCGGTGAGCCAAAATTGCACCATTGCACTCCAGCCCGGGTAACGAGCGAAACTCCATCTCAAAATAATAATAATAATACAAATTAAAAAAAAAAAAAATAGGTGTGGTGGTGCATACCTGTAGTCCCAGCTGCTTGGGAAGGTGAGATGGAAGTATCCTTTAAGCCCAGGAGTTCAAGGTTGTAGTAAGCTATTGTCACACCACTGCACTTCAACCTGGGTGAGAGTGAAACCCCCATCTCTTAAAATTCCCACAGGGTAAAGTCCAGGAGCAGATGCCTTCACTGGTGAATTCTACCAAACATTTACAGAATACCACCACTTATTCAAATAGTCTTCCAAAAAAAAAACAGAAAAGGGGGATACCCTTTCTAATTCAATATCACCCACACTAGAAATTGGGCAAAGAAAACAACTACAGGCCAATAGCCCTCAATATAGATGCAAGAATCCTTGGCCAGGCGAAGTGGCTCATGTCTGTGATCCCAGCACTTTGGGAGGCCGAGGCGGGTGGATCACAAGGTCAAGAGATCAAGACCATCCTGGTCAACATGGTGAAACCCCGTCTCTACTAAAAGTACCAAAAAAATTAGCTGGGCATGGTGGCGTGTGCCTGTAATCCCAGCTACTTGGGAGGCTGAGGCAGGAGAATTGCCTGAACCCAGGAGGCGGAGGTTGTGGTGAACCAAGATCGCACCATTGCACTCCAGCCTGGGTAACGAGTGAAACTCTGTCTCAAAAACAAAAAACAAAAAATTCCTCAAGAAAATACTAATGAAACTAAATCCAGCAACATATAGAAAGGAATATACACCATAAGCAAGTGAGATTCAGGAATACAAAATTCAACATGCATAAATCAATGTAGTATACCCACATTATTAGAATAAAGGACAAAAACAACATCATCTCAATGCATATAGAAAAAGCATTTAACATCTGGCAAAATTCAAAACTCTTAGATGAAAACATTCAAAAAGCCAAAAATAGAAGGACTTTTTTTTTATCCTGAGAAACGACATCTATGAAAAGCCCACACCTGATACGTTGATGCAAAATACTATAAGCTTTCCCTCCTAGAGATGATGAATAAGACAAGGATGTTCTCTCTCATCACTTCTATTCAACCTTGTACTGGAGGTTCTAGCCAAGACAGTAGGCAAGATGAAGTAAAATAGTCTGCAGATGACATGATCTTGTATGTAGAAAATATTAAGGGATTCACACCGAAAAACTACTGGCACTAATAAGTTCAATGAGGTTGCAGGATACAAGGTTAATACACAACGGTCATTGATTTTTATACATTAGCAATGAACAACACACGAAAGAATTCCATTCACAACAGCATCACAAAGAATAAAATACTTGGATTTAACATCATTAAAAAACAGATAATTTGAGTATAAAGAAATTTTGTGTTCACAGATTGGGAGAAAATATTGCTAAGATGTCAATACTCCCCAAATTGATAAACAATTTGTATCAAAATACCTCTGCACTCTTTGCAGAAATGGACAAGCTGATCCTAAAGTAATATGGAAATGCAAGGGACCCAGAATAACAAACTAATCTTTAAAAGATTATAAGAATTGCACTTCCCATTTCAAAACTTACTACAAAGCTACATAATTAAGACTGTGATGCTGGCATAAGGATAAACACATGATCAATGGAATGGAATTGAGATTTCAGAAATCAACCATTACACTATGGTCAATTTATTTTTGACAAGGGTGCCAAGACAACTCAATGAAGATGAATGTATAATGTTTTTAACAAATGTTGCCGTGAGACAGCCATATGAAACAATGAAATTGAACTATTTCGTACCGCGTGCAAAACTTGCTCCACACGGATGACAGACCTAAATGTAAAATGAAAATCAAGTCTTAGAAGAAAATGTAGATGTGAACCTTTATGACACTGGACTAAGCATTCGACTAACACCAAAAGCACAAGCAAACAAAAAAGCAGACAGATTGTATTTCGTTAAAATTTAAAACATGTACTCAAAGACACTATCAAGAAAGTGAAAACAACTCACAGAACGGGAAAAATTTTTTCCAAATTATGTATCTGATAAGGGTCTAGTATTTAGAATATATAAAGAATCCTTACAACTCAAAAAAATTTCTAAGAAAAATGGTCAAAGGATTTTGAATAAACATTTTTCCAAAGGAGCTATACAATGTCCAAAAGCACATGAAAAGATGCTCCACATCATTAGTCATTAGGAAAATGCAAATCAAAACCATGAGATAAAATTTCACACACACTAAGATGGCTATAAACAAATAGGTGGAGAATAATAAGCCTTGACAAGAATGGATGAATTGAAACTTTAATACATTGCTGGTGGGAATGTGTTAACTATGCACTCTGGCTCAGTCTGGCAGTGCCTCAAAAGGTTAAACATAGTTACCACATGACCAGCAATTCCTAGGTACTTAAGAAAACTGAAAACACATCCACACAAAAACTAGTGCATGAATGTTCATAATAACCAAAAAGTGCCCGTCAATGGATGAATGGATGAATCAAATCTAGCATAGCCATATGAAGGAATATTATTCAGCCATAAAGAGGAATGGATTAGTGACATGCCACAATGTGGATGAACTTTGAAAACATTATCACATGAAAATGAAAGGAGCCAGCCACAAAAGATTCCATTAATATGCAAAGTCCAGAATAAGAAATCCATAGAGACAGAAAGTAGATGGTGGCCAGGAGTTGAGGGGAGAGGAAAATGGGTACTAAGTGCTAATGGGGATGGAGTTTCCTTGGGAGACAATGTAAATGGTCTGGAATTAGATACTAGTGTTGGTTGCACAGCCTTATGAATGTACTGAAAAGCACTGAATTGAGGTAAAGTTCAGTGTATGGTATATAATATCTCAATTTTAAAAATCGAAGCTAGTGATGCAACTTACTTTACATATTTGTTAGTAAATTGTTTGCATAGACCAACACTCTTTCCAGAAGCCAAGGAACTGCTGTTGCTGTGGCTATGAAACAGATGAAAGCAGTACTAACAGCTCATCTGGTTTCAGATTCTGTTCCCTCTGGTTAACATCAGCATCAGGCCAAAACTGCAGTAATCTTAAATTTTCACTTGGAGTCTTCCAACTCACTTAATTTATTGATCAATTACCATCCTAGTGAGCGCTTCTCAAGGACTGAAACCTGCCGAAAGTAAAACACCATGAAATTAACGTGTTTGAACATAAGTGGAAAATTCTGTAAAGTACTATGAAGTACTCCTCTGTAAAGCATTTGGAGGCCATATTTGCTTTTTTCCTCAGTTTCCAACACTGTTTTGGTACCATTCGTTCTCTAGAACAAAAATGTACAGGAAGGAATTATCTACCAAAGGTCCTGTCTACCTTTGGAAGGAATTATCTACCAAACATCATCCTACAACTTGCTGGTTCCTGGCACTGACTGACCTGCACTGTTAGATTTATTGACTGAAGAATTACACACTTTGATGGTATGCAGTCTAATTCACTAGCTCAAAGCTATGTCTAGATTTTAAATAAATGATAGGGATTTTAAACTGTATATTAAAAAGTCATTATATCTTGCTTTCTTTGGCTATGCATTCTTTATTTAATTGAGCAAAGAATTTTAAGAGAAAAATAGAAAATCCAGCTATAATATTAATTTGATCTTGCTATTTGAAAGAATATAGGTCAATTGTGTTTGGAGCTATTACTGTTGAGTCCTGTATATTGACTATATAATCTTTCTCTCTCTCTTTTTTTAATTGAGATGGAGTCTCTCTGTCTCCCACGCTAGCGTACAGTGATGCAATCTTGGCTCACTGCAACTTCCACCTCCCGGGTTCAAGTGATTCTCCTGCCTCAGCCTTCTGAGTAGCCAAGACTACAGGTGCACACCACCACACCCAGCTAATTTTTGTATTTTTAGTAGAGACAGGGTTTCACCATGTTGGCCAGGCTGGTCTCAAACTCCTGGCCTTGTCCTCCCAAAGTCCTGGAATTATAGGACTGACTACCCTAAAAAGGAAGACCTGGTCTTTCTGTGTTTAGTACAGGAGTGCAATTTAATCCCAGACTCCTTGCAGGAATTCTCTTTCCATGTAATAGTTTTTTAGTTTCTAATTCATTAGAGCAGCCTTTTTCTAATCACCAAAGTAATACTGCAGACTAAAGAAAAGTGTGAAGACAAGCCTTGAAATTTCATTCATCCCCCTATCTTTTGATGAATACTTTCCAATCTTTTCATTCTTTTGTACAAATCCTGCACATACAGATGTGGTCTGATTTAAAGGGCAACTTTCTATGCAGTTTTGTCACCTGCTGTCTTAATCTAATATATGAAAATCTGTAATAACATACATATGTACACAATCACTGCATAGTATTACGTGTCTGCTGGCCAGATGCAGTGGCTCATGCCTATAATCCCAGCACTTTGGGAGGCTGAGGCAGGCAGGTCACCTGAGATCAGGAGTTTGAGACCAGCCTGGCCAACATGGTGAAACCTCCTCAAATAAAAAAATTAGCTGGGCATGGTGGCAGGTGTCTGTAGTTCCAGCTACTCAAGAAGCTGAAGCAGGAGAATCGCTTGAACCCAGGAGGTGGAGGTTCCAGTGAGCTGAGATCACGTCACTGCACTCCAGCCTGGGTAACAGAGCGAGGCTCCATCTCAAAAAAAAAAAAAAGTATTACATGTCTACCAATATCATTTGTATTTATATTTAATATATTTTAAAGCCTAGGTCTTTTTCTTTCTATTGTATTTGAAAATATCAATTTCTTTTCGTTTCTTCCTCTATGTAGTAACACTTTATTTGAGCAGGCAGATGGAAGATTAATTCTTTTACAAGCAAGTACTAAATTGCTACTACTTTTATCAACACACATGATCAGTTCAGCTCTTTTCAACCAGAGCAATCTTGGAAAATGTTATCTTTTTTTTGTCTTTTTTTTTTTTTTAGTCTCATTTTGTTGCTTAGTCTGCAATGCAGTGGTATGCTCGGCTCACTGCAACCTCCACCTCCTGGGTTGAAGCGATTCTCCTGCCTCAGCCTCCCAAGCAGCTGAAATTATAGGCACCCACCACCATGCCTGGCTAATTTTTGTACTTTTAGTAGAGACAGGGGTTCACCATGTTGGCCAGGCTGGTCTTGAACTCCTGACCTCAGGTGATCCGCCCGCCTCGGCCTCCCAATTTGCTGGTGTGAGCCATCATTGCTGGTCTGGGAAATGTTATCTTTTTATTTAATGTAAGATTCATTTATGACAAGGCTTGAAATAGGATTTAATTTCAAGTGTATTTTTATTTGTGTGACTGTCAGATGCGCCATGGCCACGCAGTCTTCACTAGAAGGTTTCCCTGAACCATCTTCATTTGACCTTTTATGTAAGAGCAGCAACAACAAAACAAGCTGGAGTTTGATCAGTTAAGCTTTTGCTTACTATTGGATTAGAAGCATTGATTTGCATCAGATTCATGGCCAAAATATTAATAGTTGGCATGTTGATCTGGGGTCACTACAAAAATAAGCTATGGGATCTAGCTTTAGTTAAAATGAACAGCTCACAGAAAGAGCTGTGTGAATACTGAGAAAATGGCATCAGGAAGATGAGGGTGGCAGCAGGGGTCCATGTGTCCACTGCAGAAGAGCAAGCCACACCCTTTGGGGAGTTTTTGTGGCTGAGGAACTCTGCTGACTTAGAAAGTGTGAAGAGTAAAGAGATTGGAGAAAAGAGAAAAGAAGAGGGTAGTAGGGGTGGAGGGAGGTGATGAAATACCACCACTTTAGGAACAAGGAATTAGTTACAAAGGAGCATAATTTTACCAGTGCCTATGTTCACTCTGAAGGAAAATCCAGATCTAAGGAAAGAAAGGTTACGGGGCTCACGCCTGTAATTCCAACACTTTGGGAGGCTGAGGTGGGTGGTTCACATGAGGTAAAGAGTTTGAGACCAGCCTGACCAATATAGTGAAACCCCATCTCTACTAAAAATACAAAAATTTACTGGGCATAATGGTGCATGCCTGTATTCCCAACTACTTAGGAAGCTGAAGCAGAACTGCTTGACCCCAGCAGGTGGAGGTTGCAGTGAGCTGAAATCACATCATTGCACTTCAGTCTGGGTAACAAAGCGACGGAGTGAAACTGTGTTGCCAAAAAAAAAGAGAGAGAAAGAAATGTTATAATATTGGTCACCGTCCTACAACTTGCTGGTACCTCTCTCTGACCTGCAGCAGCCTCTGAGATTGCTAACAGGCTGAGTGTAGGAATAGCCTGCACCGTGTCTCATGGGTGTGGTGATGGCTCTTCTGAAGAAAGATGTAGGCTCGGTATTTAGAAAACTTGAACTAAAAATGAGTCCACCTCTGTTTACCCTGTAGAAAGCTAAGCTAAGTGAGTACTGAAGATGAAGAGAAGCCCAGAGTTTTGCAGGTCACTAAACACACCCTATACAAATGCAGAAGAAATGGTGCATGATTGTTTACAGAAGGTTCCTGGATTGGCAGTGTTTGGCAGAGGAAGAGACATGGAGAAACACTGAAAGTCATGCTAAAGGTAAACATGAAAAAGTGAGATTAAAGAGAAGAATCATCTGATATCATGAATATCAAAAGAAAGCAAGAAATAACTTGATTTTTGCCCATGCCTGTGGCCACCTCAAGGAGTTGTCTTCACACGCCACTTTCCTCTGGGACAGTCTTGCCCAGTCCCATATCTTTGCACAGATCTCACTGATGTATCTGAATTGGCAAACCTATCTCAGAGGATGTGGAAAATTCCTTATATGGAATTCATCATGCCTCACCCAAACTCACCCTCAAGTTTCTCCAAGAAGCCCTCTCAGCCCCTTTGCAAACCTATAGCAAGCAGATGTCGATGATTCCTACTTGAGATCACTTCCTCTGCTTCTATTAGATGGTTCCTTATTTATTTTATTTTATTGCATTTTAGACAGAGTCTAGCTTTGTTGCCCAGGCTGGAGTGTAGTGGCTCAAGCTCAGCTCATTGTAACCTTCGCCTCCCAGGTTCAAGTGATTCTCCTGCCTCAGCCTCCTGAGTAGCTGAGATTACAGGTGTATACCACCACATCTGGTTAATTCTTTGTATTTTTTTTTTTTTTAGTAGAGATGGGGTTTTACCATGTTGACCAGGCTAGTCTCGAACTCCTGACCTCAGATGATCTGCCTGTCTCAGCCTCCCAAAGTGCTAGAATTACAAGCATGAGCCACTGTACCTGGCTGGTTCCCATTATTTTTATATCAATATTTTAGTCATCTTCAGGAGTTGTGGTGGCCATAATTTGCAAACTGCATTTTCCGCATTACCAGTATTAACACAATCTTTATTCTGCTTATATAAAAAGAGCCTTCCAGAAAAATCTGAGTTTCATTTGGACCATTTTCATGTCATGTTTTTCACGAGGGCCTTAAAGGTCCATTTTAACTCAAGTATTCATTCATTTGAAAATATGCTGTCTGGTTCCTCACTTTGCTCACCTGAGTTTCTGAAAAGATGCACACTTCAAAGTATGAGTTAAATGGCCACTTTCTATTTTATCCTGCCACTTCCTCTTAACGAAACTTTTCCATGGTACTGTATTAGTCCATTTTCATGCTGCTGATCAAGATATACCTGAAACTGGGCAATTTACAAAAGAAAGGTTTATTGGACCTATGGTTCCATGTGGCTGGGGAGGCCTCACAATCATGGCAAAAGGTAAAAGGCATGTCTCACATGGTGGCAGACAAGAAAAGAGAGCTTGTGCGGGAAACTGCCCCTTGTATAATTGGATCTCGTGAGATGTATTCACTATCACAAGAATAGCATGGGAAAGACCCATCCCCATGATTCAGTCACCTCCCACTGGGTTCTTCCCACGATGTGGGAATTGTGGGCATTACAATTCAAGATTAGATTTGGGTGAGGACACAGCCAAACCGTATCAGATACTTTTACTAACCAAAGTAATACACAAAGCAGTCACCACCAAGTGATATCCTGGTTCCTCTGAATAAAAGAAAAGAATTCCAAACAAGACTGAAATCTGGGAAGGGAGCCCACCCAGACCAGCAAAAGCAGAAGAGCTGAAAAATCACTACAGGCCTATCACATTTGTAAAGTGCTTTTAAAAAGTTCTCCTCCCAACCCCAGCCCACCTTGTAGTTAGGAAAAAAGAATTTAAGGTATAAATTGAATAGAATAAATAGGATGGTGATGACATGTGTAAAAGCAGCCGCTCAGACTTTTAGACTTGTGAAGTCAATTCTTTAGCTATGTTTTGGCCTATATAGAGGTTTAAGAATATTCAGACATGTATCTGTTACATGAAATAATCATTTCACTTCTAAAAATACTCTTCTGCTACTAATTCAATTTAAACAATGCAGCAGGAAAGCTTAATTAAGCTTTCTAGGTTGTTAAAACTCTGCTTCCAGAAAAACACACTATTCTTAGAGTCCCACAGTCAAATTGCAAGAAACAACTAATACATTATCAGTCAAGAAATGTTGTTCCCTTCTTGTGCTTAGCACAGAGCCCAAGATAAGAGATGTTTAACTTAGTAAACCCCGAGAGTGGGCAGCTAGAGAGGACTTTGTTCTGCTGGTAATACCAGCCAGCCTCGGGACGGGGGAATTGACAACAGGCCAAATTCCTCCAGGAAATTTGGGACTAGTTGAAACCATCCTACCCCTCCTTGCTTTCATGATGGTGACTGATGATAAGTTTTAATCTTTCAGCACCTGGTATTAACGAGGCAGGCTTCACAGCACCAAAACAACAACAAAGAAAAATCGAAAACATCGTTTACAGACTGGCAGCCTGATCCAGAGAGGAGAAAGTAGCGAGGGGAGAAACCTGACTCCCTTTTCCAGACATCCTAAGGAGAAAATCCAACCTGCTGAAAAGCCACAGGAGACATGAAGACAGTGTGGTGTTTGCTGGTTGGGTGGAAAGGGGCCTGCAGGCAGGGCTGCCCTACCTGTGAGTGGACTTGAAGGCAGTGTCCCCTGGAGGCGTGGCCAGGAACAGTGCATCGTTCCCGGGCACAGCGCTTGGCAATCAATGAAGCTGGTAACCCGCACTGGGCTCCAGCCTCTCTTCTCTGACAGGCCCCCAGTGTGGGGCAGGGCACAAATGGGTGTGCCAGTCTGTAGAGGAAAAGTCTACAATGACAGACAGTCCCAATTCAGAGAAAACAAAGGCTTTCCAAAGGTCTAACAACCATCCAGAGCTGTATAGCAACGCAGCAAAGAATCACTGTGTCTCCCAGCTTGGCCAATATGGCGAAACCCCGTGTCTACCAAAAAATACAAAAACTAGCCCGGCGTGGTGGCACATGCCTATAATCCTTGCTACTCAGTAGGAGGCTGAGGCAGGAGAATCACTTGAACCTGGGAAGAGGAGGTTGCAGTGAGTGGAGATTGTGCCACTGCACTCCAGCCTGGGTGACAGAGCCAGACCCTGTCTGAAAGAAAGAAAAAAAATTGCTCTCTTTCCTGTGCAGTCCTGGGTGGGGGCAGATACTTTTGCCCACATTTATTACAAGAGGAAAGTGATACTACAGGAAATGCCGAAGATGTAATGGGAGTTTCACAGCCTCATTGTAAAGAAGTTGAGGCTAAAACTGCATCACTCATTCACGTACTCGCAGGACACTCCTTCAAAGGGGCAGGTGCCGTGCTGGGCTCTGGGACTCACTGATGAAACTGCACAGAGCTGGGCCATGCCTTCAGGGAAAAAAGCCACACAATATGCAAAACATCCCCAAAGAGACAGTTACAAAGACAGTGAGCGTCCGGGACGAAAATGGAAGGTGCCGGGAAAGGGGCTCCAGGGCCTACTCACCTGCGAGTCACAATGACCAGAAGCAGCCAGTCCTGGGAATAGCCGGGAAAAGATCGTTCCAGGCAGAGGAAGGGCAGGGCTGTGAGGTGAGGTCCTGTGGGACAGGATGGGGTTGAGTGTGGGCAGGTATTGAGGGTTGAGCATGGATGGGATGGGGTTGAGTGTGGGCAGGTGTTGAGCGTGGACGGGATGGGGTTGAGTGTGGGCAGGTATTGGGGATTGAGCATGGACGGGATAGGGTTGAGTGTGGGCAGGTGTTGAGGGGTGAGCATGGACAGGATGGGGTTGAGTGTGGGCAGGTGTTGGGGGTTGAGTGTGGACGGGACGGGGTTGAGTGTGGGCAGGTGTCGAGGGGTGAGCGTGGACGGGGTGAGCCTGGGTGGGTATGAGCATGGATGGGGTGAGCATGGATGGGGAAGAGTGTGGAAGAATGTGAGTGTGGACAAGGGTGAGTGTGGATGGGGTGACTGTGGACAGTTGTGGGTGTGGATGGGGTAAGTGTGGACTGGGTGAGTGTGGATGAGGGCAGGAGTGGACATGGGCAGGTGTGAGCATGGATGGAGTGTGAGTGTAGACAGTGGGTGGTGAGTGTGGATGGGGCGGGTGTGGACCAGGCCACAGGCCCACCTTGGGCAGCACTGCTGAAGGGATTGTGTTTTCTTCCCTAGAGAGACGATGGCTGCAAAGGTGTTGAATCATTTCAGGTAGGCTGATATTTTGTCACACTTAGTGCAATGCTGCGGAGAAGGAACTTGGGGAGGCAGGGGCGGGGAGTGGACACAGAGGTCCAGGGAGCAGCGATGGTGGTTTGGACTAGGCCAGAGTGCAGATGGGGTAGGGGACTGAGGACAGAGGCAGGACAGTGAGGAGGGTGAGGAGGGCAGAGTGAGGGAACCAGTCCGGCATTTCCAGCAGGATCACCTTCTGCCTCCTCCGCCTCCACCTTGCCGCCCCTTCAGCTTCCATGTCTCCCTGTTCCACTCACCAAGAGAGTGGGCTCCCTTCCTGATCCCACTTCCTCCCACCCTACATTTCCTACCCTCTGACACCACCCCTGCCCTCCTGGGGCACCCCCAGCAGCTTTACCCCTACCCTCCCTCCGTGGGCCCTGAGCCAGGCTCCCGGCTTCCTCGTACCTCTCTGGCTGGGTTGCCTCCTCCTCCTGATCCCACCCCAAGCTGTTGGACTAGGGGTCCACATGGTCCATCCACTGCCTGTGGCTCCCAGCATGGCCTTGGAGGAGGGGCCATGTCCAGTCCTCACCAGCCCTGAGGCCTGGCCTGCGTCCTCAGCCTCAGACAAGCTCAACTGGTCACTTAAAATGAGATTGCAGTGATCTTGCACAACTCTGTGAATGTACTAATAGCCATTGAGTTCTATACTAAAACCTGTGCATTTTATGGTACATAAATTATACAAAACAAAAGGAAAAGGCCACCAGCTCTCCTTTCTCCTCAGCCCTGATGTCCACACCCATGCCCTTGTCGTCAGGGAGCCACCACCTGCCCCCAGTATGACTCACTGACTCTTCCCTCTGACTTCCCAGTCCACAAAGTTTCCACAGTTGGCCAACCCTCACCCACCTCAGCCCCCACCATCCACTGGCAACCCCCACCCCAGAGGGCTCTGGGTCCGTGGTTCACAGCATGGGTACTGCCACCCAGGGAGCATTCAGACCTTTGGTGGGGGAAAGGCGGTGCTTTCGATTGTCAGGTGACTCCGGGGCATGGCCGACAGAGGTGGGCTGGAGAGGATGCTGAACAGCGTCCTCTGTCGGCCATGCCCTGGAGTCTTACAATGGATTGTCGTGTCCTGCAAACCTTTAGAGCACTGCATCCACTTTCTCTTCTGTCCAGACCAGTCCGGTCCACTATGATTTATCCTGATACCCCATTCTTGTATTAACCGGTTCCTCTGCTCCTTGTTTTCATGAATCTCTAATACAGAATGTCTTCTGACCCTCTATTTCCTTAAATTCAAAGCCCCTCCTATCCCGCTGTCAGCAACCGATTCCTTCACTTTCTACGAGGAAGGAGAAGGGCATTCCACAAACACTGGGTCCCTGTGTTGTTCAGACCATGTGCTAGTGGGGACCTGGGCCCCCATCTTCTAGCCAGAGGGGCTGCCTCTGAGCTCGGCCCCATCTGGGACACATGAGTTTTTTGCAGCTTTCCTGGGCTCAAATCTCCAGTTGCCAGACTTCCATTCCCAGACAACTCCCAGAAGCAGCTGGCACCACCAGCCAGACTTCCTGGCACCTTGCAGCATGGGTATTCCCTCTGTGACAGGGCCACTTTCTCGTGTGGGCCCTACAAAAAGGCAGAGTGACAGAGGTGGGGAGCCTCCCATGAGCCATCTGCTGGCCTGCTCCCCACCTCCCCCTTGCCCCTGCCACTGTTCTGCTCTCTGTGGGATAGGGGAGGATGGGTGGGCCCACCTCCTGTCTCTGGCTGATCCTGGCTTTGTAAGGGTCCACATCCCTCAGCCAGGCCTGTTCCCTACCGGGGCCAGCAATGGTGTGCAATCCAGGCTAAGCCTGTGAACAGGTTGCCCTTTGCTTATTCTTGGCCCTCTGGGGTCAGATGCCTTTGGACTTCCTCACTTGCCAGTCAGCAGCAAGCTCTCCCTCTCTCCCTCTTAGAACGTTTTATTTGTAGTTCTCTAATAATTTAGGTCACTTCCTTCTTTCCATATGACAGTCCCCTTTCTCCCACTGCGGTGCTTTCCATGCAATCTATGACAAGTACATGCAGGTCTCATCATTCTGGAAATATTTAACACGTACCTAAGGTCTCATACTAGATACCACTTTAGGGCCCAGCAGAGATACTGTTAGAGAAAAATTATTCTGTGATCATCAGTAAAGTGTGGGAAAGAAAACTATTCCGGACCATCAAGATCACTACAGGGACTGCTGCAATGGGCTTACCCAGTGGAGAGGGAAACTGGGCCAGCTCTGAATATGGTGCAGGCAAGGGGCAGGGCAGGGGCCGTGGATGGAAAAGTCTTAAGAGGAAACATCAGGAGTAAGGGGGGGATTTGGGAGATCGTGAGTAAAAGGACCTTGCAGGATTCTTGCAGAAGACAGGCCAGAGTGAGCAGACCTCACCTGGGGGATGGTGGAGAGGGAGGAACCTGATGAGATATTGAGGGTGATCAGGTACAAATGACAGGGGATTCTTGCTAAACAGACTCAGCAGGGTTTCTGCTAAAACTGGATTTTACAAGGAAATACAGAGATGGGCCTAGGAGGAGGCCTAGGAATCTGACTAAAGTTTGGTCAAGCAAAGAATCTTTGTCAATTCCTACAGAAGGAACACAGTCCCTGACTTTGAGAAGTTCACAGTCTATTCATTTGTAGCCACTGGAGCACAAAGACACTAGTAGGAAAAGAGAATGGAGGGAGGGAAGAGGCAACACGTACAATCAAATAGGGATAAATGCCACCCTGTCCAAACCCACCATCTGGTCTAGTCAGGAATTTTGTGATGGGCGATGAGCCAGCAGTGGGCCCAGCCATTCTCCCTGGGGAATGTCCCCCTTGCAGGCTTGGGGTGCCATTTGAATGTCCCCTCAAGACTTCCCTCTGCTGCTGGATGAAATAAAGCTCACCTGGGCAGGAAGAGGTAAGCTCCATGAGAGTCTCTGGGGTCCCCAATTTCTACTTCCTTGGAAGTGCTGCATCTGGGCGGCATGGCAGAAGGAAGCCCCAGCTGCCACTGTTCCAGGAACCCTTGCAGTTCCACGGTGATGGGGAGAAGAAACAGGCTCTTCTAGGAAACAGCCTTGGGGAAGGAGATGCCACACGAGAGACCACACTCCCGGGTGATTTGAAGATCAGACAAGGATCCTATAAAATGAATGAATAAAATGAATGAATGAGAAAGTAAGTGAAATGAATGGTGTGGGTGTGGGCTTCTGGCTCTCCACCCTCTCACCATTCCACAGTGTCCCTTCCTTACAGGGAAGTGGGGCGATGTCCCGGGGCCTTACTCTTTGGCAAATATCGCCATTTCCAGCCAAGGCACCCTGGGCAAGCCGTGATTAAGTCATTGAACATGGCGTGCTCAGGGCACACAGGGCATCTGTGTTCACAACCGGGAAATGAAAAAGCAGAGATACGACTTTGTCAGGATGAGGACTGCACACCTCCTGAACTAGGCGATCCCTGCAGGTGTGAGATGGTGGCAACAATGTGTCTTCTTGCTCATAAAAATAATTCTCGCCCCTAAAAATGCTTCAAACACACAAGAACCTCTCCTGGTTCTGAGGCATTCAGCTGGGCTTTCCAGAGCCAGAAGTTTGTGGCGAGAAGTCTCATCCTTGCTCTGAAAGCAGTGGCCAGCCTTCCAGGTGCACCCACATAGCCCCATCAGGCTTTCTTGCGCTCCCCGCCAGCGGCTGCTCTGGAGCTAGGATGTGCCAGGGTTAGCATCTTAAAAATAAAGATTTCTTCCAGCTGAAGATCAAAAATAGACTTGGTGAGAGTTTTTCAGATGAAAAAGAGGAGAAGAGCAGATTCTCTAAAAAGCTGGTCCCGATTCTCGACAAACCCAAGCTAGAGAGCTGGATGTGCCCATGAACTCAAGTGGCCCTTCTCACCTCTCAGAGTCCACCCGTGGCCTGAAATCAGGTTCATCCCCACCTCGTGCCCAGCACGGTGCTGCACATGGCTCTGAGTAAGCTCTCGGTTTCTCCAGGTGAACAGCTGGAACCTGAGAAACAAAGCAGCCTGCAGAGCTGGTGTAGCAGGACTGGGTGGACGTGGCGTGGACCGGGCTTGCTCTTCCCTCCCGTCCCAGCCAGGCATGCTGTCTGGGTGGTCCTGGCCTGGGTCTTTGCCAATCAACCGACACAAATGGACGTCCATCCGGCACTGATACCCTGCCCAAATCGGTTGCCACCTTGCTGTGCTGGGACCTTGGGCAACACAAGGGCCGAGGGTGATCAGCTAGAAAGCAGGTGCTTCCAGCCTTCAAGCAGGTAGGGCTCAGACAGAGGAGCTGGGGGATTCTACCTAGGGGGTCCACCAGGACCTTTTGAGGGCTGCTCCCCATGACCCGCCCTGGGTCTCACACGCTTGCAAGGTTTTATCTGCCTTGGAAACCTGCATGTATTAAGTAACAGCTACTTAACTGTTCCATTTTTCTTGATAATCAAAGCACATGTATCTTTGTACACAGCCTCAGGTCAGGCGGGGTTGCTGTAAATCCCACCTAAGTCAGGTGTGCTGGGCCTGCGGCGTGGGCATGTGTCTGCCTCCATGCGCTGCTCCTGGTCCCTGCTTCCCATTTGCAGACCTCCCAAGCCCTGGACTCAGAGTCAGAAGGGCTAGGCTTTGAGGACCTAGCCAGAGAACCACGAAAGCTGCTGAGGGAGGGCTGAGACTTCCTGTGGGCTGGTGGAGCTGACTCTGGAGGTGACAGTCCCCAAGTCCTAGTCACTGGCACCGCCACATTCTGCTGCACCTAAAATCTAGAGCCACCTTTGCCCTGGAGGGGACACAGCTCTGCAGCTAGATGGCACGTGTTCACCCCCAGCCTGGCCATGCACCTCAGCCTCTCTAAGCCTCATTTCCTGATCTCATAAAGGGAGACAACGAAGAGATTCTCCTAGGATTTTTATGAGGAATAATAAAATGTGCCTGGTATATGATAAGGCCTCCCCATTCCCCACCATCCCCCAAACTCCCTCCCTCTCTTGGGCGTGGCTCAGTATTTATCTTCACTCCCTGGAGCTGAATTAGGTTGGGGGACGAGGGGTGCTATAGGAAAGCCCTCCTCCTGTCCCCAGAAAGATAGCATTCCCAAAGGGCTGATTCCAGCCTCCGCCTGCATCACACTCCTGCCAAGCCCGCGGCCTCCTTTTTTCTCTTTATGGCCTGAGGCCCAGTTTTGGAGACTTTTGGCTCTGATGCACTTCTAAGTGCTGAGACAAGTTACTTGGACGCCTTTAAACCCAAAACAAGGTCAGACATCAAACCACATCTCCCTGTGCAGCCAGGCTTCCACTCCCAGCTACCCCAGGGAGGTTGTGGAAAGAATAAAAAGGATTCGTGGTGGAGTGAATATTGTGCCCACCCAGGCTCCAGGCCCATCACCAGTTGCAGCGGCTCTTGCTGATGGTGGTCGGGGGTCTCTCTGTTCATTTTCTATATGTTTACACATGTAAATATTGCGCATCTTGCACAGTATGGTTTTGTGGGCACTGCACAGATAACACTGTTCTTCAGCTACGCTTTCACTACCTTGGCCTTGCTGAGATGAAGCCCTGTGGACAAGTTTTGTGCATGGTTCTCCTGACTCCTGGCTACCGCCTGCCCTCCCCGGAAATGGCCGGCATTTGCTGACTCTGAGGCAGTGTCTGGCCAAGCAGTGCCTTTCCGTCCAGACCACAACATGATCACTTTAATGATAATGTCACTTCAAGACATAAAAAAACAAGGCACATTTGCCTGATTTGAAGCCGAGAGTGGATTCTGTATGCTGGTTTAGGGCTGCAGAAAAGTTGTTGGTGCCAGTTGACACGTAAACAGCAGTTTCCTGATCTGGGTCATTGTGACAGCTGTGGCATTCTGAAGAGCACCAGAGGTGGGCTGGATTTTAGGGGCAGCAGAATGTGGCAGTGCCAGTGACTAGGACTTGGGGACCATCACCTCCGGAGTCAGCCCCACCAGCTTACAGGAAGTCTGGGGTAGAGGGAGCTCCAGAGCCAGAGCTGGGCTGGAGATGGCTGCTCTACCTTCTCCTCCTGTGTCCCCAGCTGCCCGAGGGAAGCTGCTGCCTTCCTATTTAAACGCATCTTAAATCTGTGCTCATCAAAAGCATCACTCAGAACATGGGCCTGATGGGCAGCATGGATTCCATCCCAGCAACCACCCGATAAGCGGGACCCCACTTAATGGGAGCCCTTCTAGAACATCTCTATTGTAAATGCCACCCCTCCCCCTACAAGGTTACGGGCAGGGGACCTCAGTGTCTGCCTGGTGCTGTGTGAGAGAGGTTGCTATGCCCATCAAGGACAAAGGTGGGCTGGATGCCAGCCTCCACTGCCCATAAGAGATCCCTTTCTTCACTTGTGGCTGTTTGTCTGAGATATGAGTCAAACCTACCTTCAGATGGCTTCATAAATGTAAAATTGACAGGGTGGCCTGGTGCTGTCACTGCTCATGCCTGTAATTCCAGCACTTTGGGAGGCCAATGGGGGCAGATCACTTGAGGCCTAGAGTTCGAGACTAGCCTGGCCAATATGGCGAAACCCTATCTCTACTAAAAAGAAAATACAAAATTAGCCAGGCGTGGTGGCACACACCTGTAATCCCAGCTATTTGGGAGGCTGAGGCAAGAGGATTGCTTGAACCTGGGAGGCGGAGGTTGCAGTGAGCTGAGATCACACCACGGTACCCCAGACTGGGTGACAGAATGAGACTCTGTCTCAATAAATAAATAAATAATAAATAAATAAATAAAATAACAGTGCATCAAAGCTATGAGTTCCCAAGGGTCTCTGAAGACCTGGGCAACCTTGGGAGGTGGTCCACAGCAGAGAGGATCCATTTCCAGCTGTCACACTCTGCAGCAGGTACAGTGCTGAGTGCAGGCCAGAAAGTCTCTCTCTCTCTCGTCCTCACTGGTTTTGGCCTCTAAGCCAGTCAGGATGGATCTTAAAAGGAAGGATCCGTGTTAAGACAGTCACCAGCCAGCCTAGCTGCTCAGCCCTAAGGCAAAGGCCCACTCTGAGCGGCAGAGTTTGATTTTTTGGGATTTGACTAGTTCTCTCCCTTTAGAGCTCGGGTTTCTCTGCTGCTGTCCACCAGCTCCCTCCCCTCACCCCCAGGCCTGCCCCTAGCATCCCTGGCCCAGGGCTGAGCCTGACTGACCAAGTAGCATCCTACTGTCTTGGGCACCATGATTGGTGGAGGAATCCAGGCATGACCCAATCAGCACAGGCCTTACCATGGGCCCCAGAGTAGCGGCTGCAGTAGCTTGGAGGTGGGCATGTGACCTAGTTTGAGACAGCGAGATGTGAAAATGGTTCCTTGCTCTTAAGAGTAAGCCAAGGAAAGAAACACCTCCACTGTCTCTGGACATCTGGGCATGAGGGTGTGAGGCCTGGGACAGTTGCCACCATTTTGCCACCATGAAGGAAGCCAGAATGAGAATGAAGCTGACACAGTTAATGCAGGGAGACAGAGAAGCACTGAGAGATGGGGCCTCAGCTCCTGGATGAAGCCAGTCCTGAAGCCCACCTTGACACTGGGCATAGAATTTATGTGAGAACAAACTTCCCTGTGGATAGACATCTTAGTGGAGGTGGTTTTCTTTGCACTTAGGTGTGCAAGGTCTGAGGGGGTCTTCTATTCAAGGAAACCTCCCTTTCTGGCAAACATACCTACTCTGAGACTAGTCCAGTGTGACTCGAGGATCAATATTGCACTTTGATGTCACAGGGTAAGTCATCTGGAGGAACAGGCATGTCAAAGGCACCTGCAGCCTTGGCTCTTCCTGTCCTGGATCCCTTTCCAAGTGAACCCCCAGAGACCCTCAATGGAAGGAGTATAGGCAATGGGCTTTGAGACCAGCACTGGGAGGTAAAAGGCTTCTAGAACTCATAAACTTATCAAGGTTCCCAGACTCACACCCAGGGCGGATCTGAAGGGCAGGGCAGGATGGGGTCTAGTGTCTCACCATACCCTGGACAGACCAGTGGGCAGAGCCTCCAGCACCCTGGCCTCACAGAGAAAGCCTGGGACCTCTGCTCTTCCCAAGGAAGAAGGCCAGTGATGACTGAGGTCAAGTTCCCTCCAGCCAAGCATAATGAGGCCTGGAGCCGAAGGTAAATGAATCCATAGGAATGAAAGAAATGACTTCCTTCCAGCCCATGTTCATGCCGAGCGCATGTATACAATATGCCATTGCTAATCATGGAGGGCTTCCCGGCCCTGAATACCTGTGTTTGTTTCACATTCCAAACAAGCCCCTTTGCAAGATGTCTTGCCTGGCATCTCATTTTGCTCCAGCACAAAGAAGGTGAGGGGAAGAGTGCCAAGAAGAGGAGAGCCACAGAGGCACAGTGGGGCATGGCAGGGCTGCATCAGGCTGCTGAAGGCAGGCAGGACCTCAGGCTGAGAGAGGTCACAAGGACTCAGTGCTAGAGGGTACTGCATGGCACACCCAGTCTGGTGTGTTCCCCCAGGCTGCACTGCCTGGCACCCACCAGGAATCCAGCTTGGGGAAGAAGCCCAGGGAAGGCTGGTGGTCCCTCTCCTGCTGGCCTCCCTGTGCCCCTCTGCCCTCCTTGGTTATGGGGTCCAGGCCAGTCCGTGTGGCTGATTGGGGACAGGCTCCAGCACCATGCCAGCTCAGAGCAGAACCTTAGGCAGCCCATGCCAAGCTCCTAGTAAGTCACTCCCAGTCAGGGCTAACAAGTCCTAGGCATTCTTGCTCTGGACTCCAGAAGCCACATGGTGATGCAATCATGGCCACTTTGTTTTTGAGACAGAGTTTTGCTCTTGTTGCCCAGGCTGGAGTGCAATGATGTGATCTAGGCTTGCTGCAACCTCTGCCTCCCAGGTCCAAGCACTTCTCCTGCCTCAGCCTCCTGAGTAGCTAGGATTACAGGTGTGCACCACCATGCCCAGCTAATTTTTGTATTTTGTTTAGTAGAGATGGGGTTTCACCATGTTGACCAGGCTGGTCTCACACTCCTGACCTCAGATGATCCACCTGCCTCAGCCTCCCAAAGTGCTGGGATTACAGGCATGAGCCACCGTGCCCGGCTATGGCCACTTTTTTGGGGAGCGGGAGAGCAGCTAGTGCTAATTATATAAAATAGTTTGCAGTGGTAGAGTTTAAGACAAAAACACAAATGAAATAAAACCAAGTTCATTGCATAGAAACACTGAAAACATGGTTATGTCCTTCTACAACCCTGTAAGACATACACACATTGTCAGAAACACCCCCTGGCTCACATTTTAGATTTCATTCATTTAGTAATTCTTTTCCGCCCCTTCTCTGTGCAGAGTTTGCACTGTTATAGGTGGCAGCAACAGCGTGAATGGGATGAAGCCTGTGCTCTACCCGGAGTGGTTGTGGCCACTTTAGAACAGCCTGGGAGAGTCTCCAGGGGCCTGAGCATCTGCTCTCATGTCAGAACTAGCTTTGGAATTGTGACTTTGGGGGTGGCTTTGGGCCTTCCTTTTCCTGTCAGGCAGCATATAGGGCTGGGGGCTGTCAACCGCACTGTCCCTGAATCCACGTCCATCACGGTCCCCTTGCAGGGCCTTCTTTTTTTGACCCAGCATCAGTCACGTGACTTGCTTTGCTCAAGCGATATCAGCAAGTGGGATACAAGCGGAGGCTTGAGAAGTGTCAGCAAATGGGGGTTGCTCACTCAGATCTGCCACAGCGTGGGAACATGCCTCCACTGGCCTGCTGGTGGACGGGACACTTGGAACAGGTCTGGTGTCCCCCAGCTGCCCCAGCTCCCCCAGCAGAGGCCACCCTAGACCAGCCAGCAGCCAGGACAATGGCCCACGCAAGCCCAGCCTGCATCGCTGGCTGCAGACTCGTGAGCTAAATACTTGCTCGTTGCCTCAAATCACTGAGTTTCAGGGCGATCTGTCCCACAGCATGATGGGGTGGTAGGAGGGCTCCTGTCAGTACCAGGAGCTGTCGACTCTTGTCAGACAGGATCTAGTAGCAGCCAGTGCGGACCTGGAACAAGAGGTCTTAAAACCAAGGTCTCCGGGCACCAAGCGGGGCTGATCCTCACAGGTGGCCATTCCCGAAGCGCAGGGAATGGTGGAAATGAGGAGGCAAAGGTGTGAGATGCTGCAGCAGCTTCCCTGAGTGGGGACAGTGGGCCCTGCTCATCAGTGGGCACCGCAGGGTGTCAGTTCCGGCCCTGCTGCATGAACTCACCTCCCACAGGCACAGGCTGGCCGTGGGAGTCCGCAGGCGGCTGCAGTCTCCTCATTCCCACCTCCTCCAGGTTTCTGTACAGCCTCCACCTCCACAGCTGAGTCATGAGGCTCATGGCCCCAGGAAACAAAAAGCTGGAAAGGCCTAGGACTTCAAGGTCACAGAGCTGTCAGCCCTCTGTGGAACAGCCTTGGCAGAAAAGAACAGCCTCCTGACCCAAGGCAGCCCCCCAGCTAGGGACAGATCCGCTTGGGGGCATAAACCTCAGTCCTCTCACCCCAGCTTGGTGCCACCTGCAGAGCCAGCCCAGCTCTAGGGCTCCCTGGGGCCATCCTGCCCATACCATTCTGTCCCCTTCCATCAGGGCTGACCCCCGCAGGACACCCTCATAACTTCCTGCAGCCCAGGCTCCACCTGGGTGGGTAGCAGCTTCCCTGAAACCAACAGTGCTTCTCATGCAGTCCCTGCAGAGCGAGAAGCAGCCTGAAGACTCTCGCCTGCTTCCAGGGAAGGCCCTGGGGATTCACTGAGAGTCTGGCTGGTTGGCTTGCCAGGGAACATCATTGTGAAGGTCAAGTGTCCCTCCCTCTGAGGGCTGCACGCCGACTGCCCAGGCGGGGGCTGAACAGCAGCTGCAGACTTCAGGAAGCCACAGTGTGGGCGAGCCTAGGCTGCAGGACCGAGCCACAGCAAGGACGACGCAGGCTGCCAATGCCCCATGGAGGAAGCCACCGACCCCAGGGCAGCCCAGGCCTGCCACACCTGCACTGTTGCCCACTCAGGGTGGGACATTCTTCTCGCCAACCACCTCTAGGAAATACATAGTCTTACAATCTTTGCCCACCTGAGGAATTACGGATGGTCCCTGGTGCATGGTGGCTCAATGTATGATATTTTTTTGACTTTATGATGGTTTGAAATCTTGGCAATTTTGACAAATGTACAGTATTCAACACATTCATGAGGTATTCAAGGCTGAGCCTGCGTCACTGGCTGCAGACTCATGGCCTAAATAATTGCTCCTTGCTTCAAGTCACTGAGTTTCAGGGTGACCCGTCTCACAGCATTATTGTGGCAGTGGTCACCGATGGGGCAGTAGGAGGGCTCCTGTCAGTACCAGGAGCTGTCGACTCTTGTCAGAAAGGACCTAGTAGTAGCCAGTGCGGACCTGGAACAAGAGGGTGGTCCTTAAAATGAGAGTCTCCGGGCACCATGCGGGGCTGACTCGCACGGGCTCATCCACAGGCTTTGTGTGAGATTCTGCCTGACTGTAGGCTAACCTGAGTGTTCTGAGCATGTTTAAGGTCTACTAGGCTAAACTAGGACGTTCAGGAGCTTAGGTGTGTCAAATGCATTTTCTTTTTTTTTTTGAGACGGAGTTTCACTCTTTACCCAGGCTGGAGTGCAATGGTGTGATCTCGGCTCACTGCCACCTCCGCCTCCTGGGTTCAGGCAATTCTCCTGCCTCAGCCTCCTGAGTAGCTGGGATTACAAACATGTGCCACCACGCCGAGCTAATTTTGTATTTTGGGAAGAGACAGGGTTTCTCTGTTTCTCGCCATTGCTGTGGCTCAGTCCTGCAGCCTAGCCTCGCCCACACTGTGACTTCCTGAGGTCTGCAGCGGCCGTTCAGCCCCGGCCTGGGCAGTCGGCATGCAGCCCTCAAAGGCTGGTCTCGAACTCCCGACCTCAGGTGATTCCCCCGCCTCCGCCTCCCAAAGTGCTGGGATTACAGGCGTCAGACACCGCACCCGGCCGCATTTTCAACTTACGATATTTTCAACTCGGAATGGGTTTACCTGGCTGCAACCCCCACGTAACTCGAGGAGCACCTGTTCGCCTCAATTGCCTTGACCCCTAACAGGGCTGGTGTGACCGCTGCCATGTCGGAGAACGCAGGTCTGGAATGGAGGCCAGAAGAGGATCCAGAACATTCTCTGAGGTTTCCTAACAAGCCTCCAGTCATGGCGGGAGGCTTCAAGGCTCCACCGGGGCTGGAGAATCTGCTTCGAGGCTCTCTCTGGCGTCCACTGCTGGGCCTCCAGGTCTTCTCCAGCTGCTGGCGGCGGACGCGGGTCACGGGGTGCTCAGTCCCGGGCGGCTGCGTTTTCCCAGAGCGGGGTTCTTAAGAGGAGAGAACAAGAGAAGGCGGGGAAGGTGGGAGGCACAGGCATTTTGTAGCCGAATAGCCTTGGAAGTAACAGCCCGTGACCTTCGCTGGATTCTGCTTAGGAGAAGCCAGTGGCCAAGTGGCAGAAATCACGAGGGCCGTGGGAGAGGCTGCCTCTCCTACGGGATCGCAGAGGGGACGAGGCCCAGCCAAGGCCCTGGAGCTGGAGACCGAGCCCATTCAGGAGGAAGAGCAGAAGGAAGCTGCAGAGCCTGCTCCTTCGTTTCTCCCCTTCTCTGGGGCAGACCAGCTGCGGCCAGCCTGTGCCCAGTCCTTGCGGACCTGGGTACCGCTTCCAGGGGTCTTTCAGTCCTGGAAGTTTAATCATTCTGTTTTTGTTTTTGTTTGGTTTTTGAGACGAAGTCTTGCTCTGCTGCCCAGGCTGGAGTTCAGTAGCGCAATCCCAGCCCACTGCAACCTCCGCCTTCCAGGTGCAAGCAATTCTCTGCCTCAGCCTCCCCAGTGGCTGGCACTACAGGCGCGTGCCGCCACGCCCACTGGCCTCTTTGCTCCCAGCCCTCCCCTGTCACTTGCTGATCTATTGTGCTAGCTCAGTTTTCACTTTTTGCCTTTGCAATGTACAAAGGTTAGCAATTCTTGATGGTACAGTCTTTCTGTTCAAAGAGCTGGGGTGGTTTCTACCTCTAGCGGGACCCTGAGTGATCCTTCAGGCAGGGGTCTCTGTGACTGGAGAGAAGCCGTGTGCATGAGGCCCCATGTACATTCCGATTGCAGCTCCCACTCCAGACCAGCCCTGAGAGGCAGGCGAGACAGTCTCCCTCTCACCATCTCTGGGGTGGACTCCCTTGTTCAAGGCCACACAGCTTCAAGTGGAGCCGACTGCCCCTCCTCCCCCACTGCCCCTGCTCCCCAGCCGCCCTTGCTCTTCCGCTACCCTGCCCTATCCTGCAAGGAGGAGGAGCTCAATCTCATTTCTTGGGGAAAGTGGGGACTTGAGACCCCAGGGTCGAGTTGCTCCTGTGTTCAGGAGCATTTGCTTGAGTCTGGGAATTCAGTCATCTGGGAATTATTTAAAAAGAGTGCAGAGGCCTTGAAAATCTCAGCTTGGATTGATTGAGGGAGGGAGAGAGGCAGTGTCCCGTGTTTTCTATTTGCTTTTTTTTTAACTTTTAGGTTCAGGGGTACATGTGTATATTCATTATATAGATAAACTGCGTGTCACGGGGGTTTGGTGTACAGATTGTTTTGTCACCCAGGTAATCAGCACAGTCCAGATAGGGAGGTTTTCTGCTTCTCTCCCTCCTCCCACTCTCCACCCTCAAGGCCCCAGTGTGTGTTATTTCCCTCTTGGTGTGGCCATGTGTTCTCATCATTTACTCCCATTTGTAAGTGGGAACATGTGGTATTTGGGTCTTCTGCATTAGTTTTCAAAGGATAATGGGCTCAGTTCCATCCATGTTCCCACAAAGGACATGATCTCATTCTTTTTTACTGCTGCATAGTATTCCATGGTGTCTATGTACCATGTTTTCTTTATCTAGTCTTCTGTTGATGGGCATTTAGATTGGTTCCGTGTCTTTGCTATTGTGAATAGTGCTGCAGTGAACATATGTGTACATGTGTCTTTGTGACAGAATGATTTATATTCTCTTGAGAATATGCCCAGAAATGGGATTGCTAGGTTGAATGGTAGTTCTAATTTCTTTGCCAAATCACTACACGGCTTTCCACAATGGCTGAACTAATTTCTACTCCCATCAACAGTGTATGAGGGTTTCCTTTTCTCCACAACCTCACCAGGGTCTGTTGTTTTTTGGCCTTATTAATAATTGCCATTCTGACTGGTGTGCGATGGTATCTCATTGAGGTTTTGATGTGCATTTCTCTAATGATTAGTGATATTATTTGTTCATATGCTTATTGGCCACATTCATGTCTTCTTTTGAGAAGTGTCTGTTTATGTCCTTTGCCCACTTCTGAATGGGGTTGTTTTTTGCTTGTAAATTTGTTTATAGATACCGGATATTAGACCTTTGTCAGATGCATAGTTTGCAAATATCTTCTCCTATTCTGTAGGTTGTCTGTTTACTCTGTTGATTTGCTGTGCAGAAGCTCTTTAGTTTAATTAGATTCCATTTGTCAATTTTTGTTTTTGTTGCAATTGCTTTTGGCATCTTTATCATGAAATCTTTCCAAGTTCCATGTCCAGAATGATATTTACTGAGGTATTTTCCAGGGTGCTTATAGTTTTAGATGTTCCCTTTAAGTCTTTAATCCATCTTAAGTTGATTTTTGTATATGGTGTAAGGTAGGGGTTCAGCATCAATCTTCTGCATATGGCTAGCCAGCTATCCACGCACTGCTTATTGAATAGGAAGTCCTTTCCCCATTGCTTGTTTTTGTCAGCTTTGTTGAAAATCAGATAGTTGTAGGTGTGCAGCCTTATTTCTGGGCTCTCTATTCTGTTCCATTGTGTCCTGTATTTTCAGTAAGGGAGACAAGGCCCTGAGCTTATACAGCTCCAGCCCCTCCAGGGCTGCATGCCAGGGACCCCTGCCCAGACCTGCCCTGAATGGCTGCTCCCGTGTGGGCCTCCAGCTCAGCCATGCATGGACACAGGCAGACCTATGGCCAGAGCCCAAAGGGCCATGGGAAGGATGCCAAGGGCGGCATCAGCTCTGTGGAGGGGGCTGTGGACCACTCTTACATTTAAATCCACCTCCCACTCAGGAACACGTTCACTTGCATAACACAACTTTACTGTGTTTACACAGTTAAACCACAGCCCACGTGTTCACTGTAGAAACAGAACTGCTGTGAAAGGACTGCCTATTTCTAGGCTTTTCCATGAAGATTCATATGCTCCTTGTTCGTTCCCTGTGTCGTCTGCTAGCATTGGCCAGTCCGTGACGGCTTAAGGAGAACTCACCAAGGAGGAACTTAAATTGGAGGAAAAAAATTCTAGTAGATGCTGTTTGGTTACTCACCCACCTTCCACCACCCTTTCTGCTGTCTCAAGAACCCAGATTTTTTTGTTGTGGTTCCCCCAGTCCTCTCTCAGTAGCAGTCCCCAGGAAGAGCCCCCAGAGGTGGAGCTTTCCAGACACTGTCATGAGCAAATGCGAGCCCAGGAAGTCCATGACCACCACTGGCAACACACCTTGTGGAGGGACATGTGCACCACTCAGGGGACCGGGGGACCAGAGCAGGTGCCGTGAGAAGCCTACCCTGCAGCCCCTGGCCTCTGCTTAAACCAGTTTGAGCTGGATTTCCTGTTACCTGCAGCCAAAGCCTTTTGACTGCTACAATTCTACTCATCTTCTTGTCTCTCTTAAGCTGGTCAAAGGCAAGTGAACATGGGTTCTGGCTGGATCCTGAGTTGAATGCTGCATTTGCACTCCTGCTACACCCCCCGGGGCACATGTTGCCAGGAGCCCGGGCTTCTTCCCTTTGCCTGGAAGGCCCATGGCTACATCTGGGTTTTCCCTCAAGCAGACTGCAATGAGAACTTGGGTAAATGACGTGATCCCAGGAAGTGCAGGGCAGGGATGGAGGTGGAGAGGGAGGCAGGGAAGGGAGAGAGGCCCATGAATGAAGGATTTCCACTGCGGGCAACAGGCTCGACCCACCGGGACCTCAGGGAGACTGTGGGGCACAGGCCTCCAATGTCCCCACTGGAGAGGGCGGAGGTGAGCATTTCTACAGACTCCCATCCCCATGGATGAGGGGGCCCCGGGGCACAGACTCCCCTGGCATAGCCGAGCTGTGTTTGCAGGTGGGAGGGACATTGCCAGGGGACAGAGAAGAAAAGAATAATTGAGAAGCAGGCTAGTAGGTGTCTCCTGTCCTGCAGGAGAGCTGGGTGGCTGCGGCTCTGGGTGGCAGATCACAGCCTCTGCCTAATCACTGAAGCCTCAACTTTCTTATCTGTGAAATGGGGCTAGTATTTGGGGTACATACCTGCTGGGGCTGATGTGAAGAGAAGCAATGATAAATGCACTTCCTGGCATACAGCAGGGGCTCTGTAAGTGCCCGTCAGTGGCAGCTCTGTGAGGAGGGTAGCTGCCTCGGTTATGGTGCCAAATGCAGTGTGCCAGGCTCTGCTCTCCCTCTGCCACCTCCACCCCAACTCTTCCTCCTGAGTGGCCCAGGGCTCCAGGCAAATTAGGCTTAAGCACTACGAGCTGGCCTGCTGGCATAGAGGCTAGGCCACTGTCCCGAGGTGGCCTGGTCCCCACAACCTGGGCCAGGGCTGTGGGGGCCATATGAGGCAACCAGGCTGGGCAGGTGCCCCTGCTCAGTGTCCACAGCCTGGGCCCAGGTGATCTGTGGGGTCACTGCCAGCTGCCGGCGCCCACAGGCCGCGCCACTTGGCCCTCTGGCCCGAGCAGCCACCTGCTCCCCTCCACGGGAGGCCCCGCCGCCTGACCTTTCCCTCCCGTCATTTTCCTTTCAGCTGTGTTAATGGCCAGGCCTGAAACGCTCCTCTGAGGGCCCGGAAAGGACCATTCTGAGGTGTGTCATTGTCTCAGGGTCAGGCTGCCTCAGCCTCAAAACCTGACGGAAACCAGAACCTCCTGACTGAGTCACCCACACCCATGACAGGGGCCTCAGGTGGAGGGTGGGGCTGGGGTGGAGAGCGGGGGCTCCCTCTACCTGTCTGGGCCTAGAAGGCCTCAGTGGTGCCCTCCTGCCAGCAGTTCAGCTCCAATTTTGTAGCTCTGGCCAAGCGCCAAGCTGGCACGAGGGTCTGGACCTCAGCCTGAGCCCTGCCCTGCATGAGCCAACGTAGAGGGCAAGGTGGGAAGGTGGCGGCCCCTCTTGGGCGGGGAAATGCAACCGCTCGCCCTACGGAACCCGAGGAAGGAGGCTTCGAGGGTTGGAATTAATGCTGCAAAAGGTCCGCAGGAAGCCCCTTCAGAGCCTCCTGAAGGCAGATGAGGGAACCCCAGGACCCCAGCACTCACTTCCTAAGTCTCCAGCCCCATATCCAAGACTGGGCCGGGTCGTGAGGACCCCTGCACAGCTCACCACTTGGGCGCCCTCTAAACAGCCTCCTGTACATCTGCGCCCCATATGTCCTTTGACGAGGAAGGAAGCCGCCTCCGGGCGTTCTCAGGCACTCCCTGGAAGAAGTTGGCTCTGGCCTCAGACATGCGTCTCCCGTCAACAAACGAAAGCCTGGCCACTCAGGCCACTCATCAGCTCCACCGCGGGTCAGGCCTGCAGCCACCTCTGGCTCTCTGTCTGTACAGCCGGGGGTCCTAGCCCCATCCCCACCCCAGGCTGGCTGACTGTGGATTCCATGCCAAGACACACCGCCCAGACACGTCTCCAGCCGGCAGGAGGCCATGATGCCACATTCAGGCCTTGCCAGTGCTTCTACAGCCTCTTGTCCGCTCTGAATGGGCCACTCCTCCTAGGTGCTCCTAGTTCTTCCACTACAGAGCAGCCAAAGGAGGGGCTCTGGCTCCCGGCCTCGGGTCCCCGGGAGGAGGGCCTGTCTGTTCTGTTCCTGCAGCTCAGCCTTTGCCATGCTGCAGCCTTTGAGGACTTCAGCTGAATCCCACCTGCCTGCCCTCCACAGGCTGCAGCCCTTCCGCATGGTCATCTGCATTAAGCACCTACTGTTTACCCAGGGCTGTGTCCCGTGAAAACAGAACAGATATATGCACCAGGTCTTCGGTCACAGCACCAGCATCTGAAAAGCATTTGCAGTTTGAGAAATGTTCACTTGACACTCATGGTCACTTCCAAGTGCACAGAGTCCAGGAACTGTCCCGTTTTCCAGATAAGGAAACTGACGCTTTGGCGAGGTCACATCACTGTAGCAGCGGTGGGATTAGAAGAATCTAGCTGTTTTGAAGCCGTCTTTTCTGTGATGCTGAGGAGTTCTCTCTGTTTCTTTTGAGTTTCATGCTGAGTATTATCGACAAGGTGGTCCAGGCAAGACCGCTCTTGAGCATGGACAAAGGCACGTAACCATTCATGCACAATCACCCCACTGCAGAGGACCTCAGATGGGAGAGGTCTGTGGGAGGGTAAGGTCAGAGGGGCCCTGGGTGGGCAGCAGGTGCAGCACCGAGGAGAGAGTGTCCCAGGGACCTGCTCTGGGGATCTGCTTTGGGTATTGGCATGGGAGGCTGGACGAAGTGGTGGGGA